GGAGCAGTTTTCTCACAGGTCTGCAGTTCTGTTTTTCTCCAAGTACATTATGACCCCCCTCATCCTCCTCTTGAACTGGAGAGGGGAAGAAATGAAAGGCATACCCACATCTGTCACCTCCCCATCCCATAGTCCCCACCTTGAACATCATGAGCTGTTATCAGTCTTGGAAGCAGAGACTCTGGGTTGGTGTGGATAGCAAAGGAGGAGGTCTGAGCCCCTCATTTGTCTTCCTCCCACCTGTCCTTTTTCCAGGAAGTTGTGGAATTGTTGAAGAGGAGTTTGCAGAAAGTTAGGAATGGGCACATAGTTAAGTCCTAATCTATGGGTACATTGTTATGTCCTAAACCAAAATTTTCCTTATCCACAATGTCCCGTCTGTCCCTTCCACTTTGCAGTGGACTCAGCCACTGTGCATAGGCTTCTTTGCTCTCTGTCAAATAACTTCCACTTTCTTCTTGTGCTGCCGTCCCCGTCTCCAGTTTTGCTCCAGTATCCAGCAAGGTTTCTTGCAACAAATGATTAGTTCTTCTCTTCTGACTTGTGGGGCTTCCTGCTGTAGAGAGCACAGCCCTTGCCCAGAGCCCAGGAACCCCATCCTTGCTTCATCTCAGTTCTTCATGGGCTTCACTCTTCCCACTCATGGAAGGGAGGCAGCTCAGGGACCTCCACTGTGGGACCCTTGAGACATCTCCACTCTGATTCAGAAACACACTTCTACCTCTTTACTGTTAGCTCTTGACAGATGCAGTCAGCAGTTTCTGGGCACTTCTCTCAGGAGGTGCCTGATGCTGACTTCTCTACTAGGATTTCAGGACAAACTACCAAGGTACTGCCTCAGCCTCCTCCTAGTCCCCCCTCAGCCACCTTCTGTCTAGTCTCACTTGGTTTGTCATGAGGAACTGAGCAGGTTCAGGACTCAGGCTTCTGCTTCAGCCCAGGCCAGTACTCCTTGTTTGAGGTGAAAGCCTTAAAATTTAGCTCCCTAGCCCTTGATTGGAAGCAATTTGAAGTGTGTTTCGATATAGGCAGGGTAGCTTGGGATAACTTTAAATAAAAAAACAAAACCAGATATTAAAATGTCTGGTAAGGTTAGAATCAGACTAGATGATTTGCTTCTAAAAATTAGTTTCAGTGAGTCCCAGGGACTAATTAAGGTTTATTTTAAAAAGCGTCTACCTTGGTACGCAGCCACCTCCTGCATGCTGTGCATGTTATTGGGACTCGTATTATAGGCAATAGTATGTGAGAATCCAGTTGGGACTCGCTTTTGCCATTCTCCTCGTTGTATCTGGTCTTCATCACTAGACCCAGCAACCCTTCTCCCCTTAACTGCCACCTTCCCTACACCCTCAGTTTACAGAGGCCATTGGGCCTCTGCTGCAGAATACAAAGTCCTGGGCTGTTAGAGGAGTCTTGTCCTCTCTGCCTGCCCTTTCCTGTCTCTCCCTCGAATTCTCTCTCCCTGTAAGTGATGCTGGGAAAGTCATAGGACTGGCAAAGCAACTGTTTAACCCCCACCTCTTGTCTTTTCTCCTTGCCTTCCCCACTTTTATGTCTTCCAGTCTATCTTGTCTTTCCTTTCCTCCTCCCTCAGTGTCCTCACCACCCACAAGTAATTTTCCTATCACTGTGAACTTTGCTGGTACAGAGGAATAATATCTGCCTTCACCTTTTTTTTTTGGACCATAGCTAGCCAGCCATTTCTTAAACCTCCCTTCCTAAAATCGGGGTGGGGTGGGGGAGAAGGGAAAAGAAAAAAAGCCTTAGTGGCCTGGTTCAAAGGATAAGAATAGCTTTATCCTACACTCAGTACCCAAACTCACTTCAGTATGCTTACTGAGGCCATGAGAACCTGAGGTGCGTCTGCCCAGCCTGGGAGCCATGCCGTGTGGCAAAGACCAGTGAGGAACCAGGAAAAGAAGGGGTGATGTCCCCTTTCTCTGCCACCTCCAGCCTCTGTGGGCAATGAGCTGTCCCCCTCCCACCCTACACAGTAGCTGGTCAGGGCTGAGCCCAGTCCTGGGAGTAAGGGAATGGCATACCCAGATGTCAGCTCAAAGGATCTCTGCATCATCTTAAAGAGGTGGGAGGCAGGGAAAGGAGCACCAATGAGGTTACCCCTCCCCCAACCTTTTACAAATGGCATTTTCTTAATTGAAATCCGGGAAGCAGGTGTGATTACTTTTTTGCTCATAGATATTGTCCTAAGTTGGAATTCTCCCACTGCCCTAAAACTTTCCCTAGTAGTCCTTTAAATTCCCCCTTCCCTTTTTGGTAGCTGTTTTCTCCATCCTGTCTCCACCTCCCCTCTTATCTAGGAGCTATTTGTAAGCACGATTTTTTTTTTTAACAGGTTATATTGTACAGGATCAATATTTTGCTTTTTAACAAGGATATTTATGTAATAAGAAACTTTGCCTTAGGCAGGTGTTGGCCAGAAAAATCCAGATTCCTCTGGGACCCCACCCTGGCCTCTCCTGGAGCTCTGAACCTGCTGTGGAAGGAATTGGCCGTGACCTTTGCCTCTGGAGAGTAGGGTCTATGGCAAGGGAAAAGGGTGTTCTCCATAATAATCTAGTGCCTCTATGGAGGGGTTTGGAAAAATTCCAGTTCAATTTCTTTGTGTGTCAGCTGACTTCCTTAGCTGATTCTTCCCGCTCACACCTCTCCACCCCTGCATATTTGGCACTAGAACTCCTAAAACACCACTTCTCATGCTTCTCCCTCCCTACCAGTGGTCAAGGCTTTGGAGCCACTCTTTTGTAACTCCAGATTATTTAAAGAGAGAAAAATACAAGACAAAAATCTTCTAGCACTTTGTAAACACAGTGAATAACCTCTTGGAGTATTTTTGGCTTTATATAAAACAAGGTTTTTAATTGTAAAGTATAAGTGCCATTAGAAAATGCACAGGGCATATCTTTGTTAAAGTAGATTTTTCAATGTTTTACAGAATTACATTTTCAAAAAAAGGTTTTTATAATGAAGTTGTTTATTAAAAACTTCTGAATGATGTGTTTGGGAGTTGTGAACCTGTCTGATTGGGAAAGGGTTGGAGAGAGCCTGGAATTGGGAAGAACTGGAATCTCCAGACATCTTCAGCATCCAGGATGATGGTGAGTGTAGGGCAGACAGTAAAAACCCCTCCCATCAGCACCTGCAAGCTTTGTGCTTTGACGTTAAATACCTTATTTGTATGTCTTTGAGGTAAGTGGCATAATTCTATCTTGGATGCAAGGGTCAGACCGCCAAAATCCAATTGGCTTCACACAGTGAAATTGCGTGTAACTGAAAAATGCCAGCCGTAGAGCAGTCTTTAGGCTAGTTTTGATCTAGTGGCTCCACACGTTGGCCTCAGCATTCCTGTTTCTCCCTGCTGTCATGCAGTTGTAACTTCATCCACAGGCCCTACAAAGTAGATTTCCCCTTTGTGTGGGAATGAGCAGAATGCTACCTGGGTTCCAGACCTGCCATTCTCACACGTTGCCGACCAAAAGGAAGCAATCCTACGGGCTCTCAGGAGAGGACTCGCCACGGAAGCCCCAGTAAGCATCCTGTTTCATTGGCCTTGATGGGATTCTGTACCATCCCAAACCAGTCACCATATGCCAGTGACAACAAGGCTGAGACAGGAGGAGTGGTTTCTCAAAGGAAATTTGGGGCACTGTTAGGATGAGGAATAGATGCTGGTTGTCCAAGAAAGCAAAAATGTTCATGCTCATCACTGCCCAAGGTGGACAGCTGGTGACAGCTAGGACCTGACCTTACCTACACTTGTGCCCAACCACTGGGTTCAAGCAGACTGCTGAGAGGCTTAACAGGGCTTCGTCTGACCTTGACCTTGCTAATGAAGGTCATCACCACTATACTGGGCGCCAACCCTTGTGCCGAGATCCTCCCATCGGGCTCAGACTGAACTGACTTCTGTGGTCTGGAGCCAGTGTCCATGGCCAAGCAGTGCAGGTCACTTGAAGTCCAGCCCAAGAGCCTGTGGGGGCATTAACAAGTGCAGGTGTTTTGTGTACAAAGGCAGTGGGTTGACCCTTCATCTTTGGCCTTCTGCTTGACAAATGTTCAGTGTCCATCCCAGTAGGTTAAAACTCTAGCTAGGACCCTAAGGAAATCCACCTTGCTCCCAAAGGAGTGTATACCACAGTAGGGTCAGAGGGTTTAGATGAGGGAGCTGTTGTATCTGTTGGTCAGGAAAACGCTGAAAGCTTTCTGGAAGAGGTGGCAAGGACTTGGGCAGAGGTAGGGGGTACTGACCTTCATGGGTCACAGTTCGGGAGCTGAGACCACAGGAACACAGATTTGCAGGATCAAGGACTTCTGGGGCTGGCTCATTCAGCTCAAGAAGACTGAGGATGCCACCATGGAGGACAGCACTATCTTCAAGGAGGAGGCAGCAGAGGAGGTGGAGAAGCAGCAGGTGGGGGAGGGAAAGTCTGCCCAGGTACAGACCCTGCACTTAAGGCTAGAGTCCACCTTTGGAAGGGTAGCCTTTGGGCCTAGGACAAAGTGAAGCAGGATCCGCCTGGCTTCTGCCACCTAGCCCAGGAAGAACCAACTCCTGTTGGAGAAACCAGGCAGATGCCCACTCACTCCCTGTTTATAGCATTTAACACCCTCTCTTGCCTCAGATCCTTCCACTCCAACCTTGCTTATTTTCCCCACATGAATATTTCAAGCACCTTCTTTCCCTACATGAATGCGTTGAACACCTTTGTGTGGGAAGATTACCATTATCTGGTTTGAATCTGGTCAGTAGTTGCAGGGGATACGTCTTCAAGCCTTCTGCATGTTCCTGAGTAATTTATCCAATGCAAGGCTGCGAATGCCCTACAGCTGCCCCAAAGCAACACTCGAGTGTGGGAGCCGGCCCACTCCTGCCTGCCCGCTGGCGTGGTGGCTGTGATGGAAAAGTTTTAATTATCTAGGACCAGTGACTGGGCTTGTCCCCTGGTGTTTGCTCCGAGCTGACCCTTGCTTGGTACATACTTCTCCCCACCTCCACCTCTATCGCCATCGCCAGTGCCAACGAATCTGGGGCCAGTTCTGTCTGGCGCCCGCGATCGCGTCCTCATCGAGCAGCCCCGTACCCCTCCTCCCGGGCTTCAGGCCGCTTGCCCGGCTGCGGGGGACCCCAGCGAATCACATCCGAGAAGGGGGCGCGCGGGGCGGAGCCTTCCGCCCACTGTCCTTCCGCCGACTGCCGCCCCTCTTGCCCAGCCCGCAGTCGCCCGCGCTCCCGGAGCCCTTCCAGGCCAGAGGCTCCCGCAGGCGATGGCGGACGAGAGGGCAGGGATCCCGGAAGCCGCGGCGCGCCCGCCGCCAGGCCCTGAGCAGGAGGGGGACGCGCGCACGGCCGCCGCGGCCTGGACCCGAGAAACTATGGAGCGCGGGTCCCTCCACCCCGCAGCGGGCCTCGGGACTGCCCTCCCTGCCCCCGGACGCCGGGAAGCGACCTCCGCGGCGACTGCCCTGAGCCTGGAAAACGATCGGGTCCGGGACGAAGCCCCAGAAACCTGCGGTTCAGAGGGCCCGGGGGCTCAGGCGGGAGCCGGCGAGAAGGCCGAGGACGCAACCACGGAGGAGGGCGCCATCTTCAAGGAGGAGGCCGCAGAGGAGGTGGAGAAGCAGCAGGTGGGGGAGAAGCTGGAGGGGGAGGAGAAGCAGGAGGTGGGAGCGGAGGCCCATGAGGGCCTGGGACCACTGAACTTTGGTGTCCTAATTGTGGACCCTCTGGAGGCCATCCAGTGGGAGGCGGAGGCCATGAGCGCCCAGGCCGACAGGGCCTACCCCCAGCTTGAGCGCAGATTTGGGCGGATGCACAGGTTGCACCTCGCCCGTAGGAGCTTCATCATCCAGAATATTCCGGGCTTCTGGGTTACTGCCTTTCTGAACCACCCGCAGCTGTCAGCCATGATCAGCCCTCGAGATGAAGACATGCTCTGCTACCTGATGAATTTGGAGGTGAGGGAGCTCAGGCACTCCAGGACGGGTTGCAAATTCAAGTTCCGCTTTTGGAGCAACCCCTACTTCCAGAACAAGGTGATAGTAAAGGAGTATGAATGCAGACCCTCAGGCCGAGTGGTGTCTGTTGCGACTCGCATCCGGTGGCACCGGGGCCAGGAACCCCCGGCCCTCGTACACAGGAACCGGGACACTGTCCGAAGCTTCTTCAGCTGGTTTTCACAGCACAGCCTCCCAGAGGCCGACAGCGTTGCCCAGATTATTAAAGATGACCTGTGGGCCAACCCCCTGCAGTACTACCTGCTGGGGGATAGGCTCTGCAGAGCCAGGGGAGGCCTCGCAAGGTGGCCCACGGAGGCTCCTTCTAGGCCCTACGGGTTCCAGTCTGGCTAAGTGCTGCCCTGGGATGTGGGGCCTACAGAACCCTCCCTCTGGCCTCCTGTGGGTGGTGGATCTGGGCTCAGGCCAGTCGGGGGCGCTCTGCTGTCTTTCTGTTCTGTGCACTCCGGCTCTCCCATGTTCGGTGGACTCAGCTCTCAGATTGTGGCCCTTGTGGCCAGTCTCTGCCGTCTCCATATGGCCTCATGCTATTCTGTGTTAACATCACATGGCTGTCACATGCTGCTGCATCTACCTAGTGCTGTGGATGTGCACTGCCACCATCTTTATGGTATGGACCCGTGACTGTGGCCATTGCAGCCATTTTTGACAAGGACACCTGCAAGTCACTACTTGGAGGACAGTGCCTCTTTGAGGCCTATGCTTCAAGCCCCCAGCCTGTGGCCTTCACATGAGTGCTGGTTGTGCTCACAGTAGCTCTGCACCCTGGTTGTGGCAAGCTAAGTCTCATCACCCAACATGAAGTGAGTGCCTTTGATGCCGGGTGCCACCCAGACTTGGACATTCCATGGCCTCAAGAGCACAGGCCAGGCTACCACCACGTGGACTCTTGGGCATCTGGCAGGATGAGCACACAGCTGGCTGCTGGGCATGGGTGAGGTCAAGGGCATGAAGCAGTGGACAGCACATTCTTTGTGATCATACTGCTCCTCCTGCCCCACAGTGGTTGACATCACAGCCTGTTACAGCTTGTGAGGGTCTGTTCTGTGCTCCACCAATGCCTGGCCATCACCTTTCCCATGAATTTTGCCCAGGCCACCGTCAGCCCTGTTGCCTGCTCCCAGGTCTACAGAAGCCTCCATAACTGCCTGTGGACCCAGGTGGGCCACCTGCCAATGCACAGGAGAGCCCCTAATCCCCAGAAACTCTGCCAAACTGGCCTATCTAGGCATGTGAGTGAGGCAGGAGTGAGGACGGGATCCTCTCCTCAGCCCCAGTTACTGGACCCCACGGAATCCAGGTACTCTGGCAGCCTCCCCGACTCTACCTGTTAGGCTGCCAGGCTGTGGGCACTGGGGAGGGGTCTTCCTGGTCATGGGGCCTGTCTACCCATACCCAGATCTCACACCATTTTTTGTTTAAATGATGGCTTAGAAACAAACAATAACAACTGAAGAAAAAGATTTTTTCTTAAACTCAACAAGAAAGACTTTGGGCCGGGTGCAGTGGCTCACACCTGTAGTAACCCCAGCACTTTGAGAACCTGAAATGGGCGGATCACCTGATGTTGGGAGTTTGAGACCAGCCTGACCAACATGGAGAAACCCCATCTCTAGTAAAAAATACAAAATTAGCCGGGTGTGGTGGTGGTTGCCTGTAATCCCAGCTACTCGGGAGGCTGAGACAGGAGAATCACTTGAACCCAGGAGGTGGAAGTTGTGATAAGCTGAGATCGCGCCATTGCACTCTGGCCTGGGCAACAAAAGCAATACTGCATCTCAAAAAAAAAAACTTTAGTGTTGTTTGCCTCTCTTGGTCTCCAGAGAGGGAGGGCTTGCGATGTAGACTGCCAGCATTCCCTCCCCCCATGCCTTACCCTCTTTAGCAAGGGGACAGTGCAAGGCTGCTGAACAGAGAGACCAGGAAGTCCCAAGGGCAGGGATAGCTAATATTCCATTTTATGCTGTGTTCTTTTAGACTAACCCCAACTCTTTCTTCTTCCTCCACCAAGTCCAAACCCCTCTAGGTATGAGCTGAGCTGCCCACCCCCTCCTTCCCCTGCTTGCAGACCTGTCTATCTCCATTTCATTTTTGGGAAAGGGGTGGTGGTGACCATACCCAGGCCTCTTCCTTGGAAGGCATTATCTTCTGTCCACCAGGACCTGGGGAGGCCTTATCACAAAATAATGTGGAGGGTGCTTTTGGCAGGGAAGTACAACAGGGGCCAGAGCCAGCTGAAAAGGCAGGATGGCTGAGAGATGGCAAAAGGAGGGGAGCCCTTGATTTTGGTTAATAAATAGGAACAGGGTCTCATTGTGTTGCCCAGGCTGGTCTTGAACTCCTGTGTTCTATGATCTGCTCATCTTGGCCTCCCAAAGTGCTAAAATTACAGGCATGAACCACTGTGCCTGCCCGATTTTTTTTTTTCTTCAAGGCAGGATCTCATTCTGTTGCCCAGGCTGGAGTGCAGTGATGCAGTCATAGCCTCGAACTCCTGGGCTCAAGCAATTCTCCCATTTCAGCCTCCCAAGTAGCTGGGATTATAGGTGTGTGCCATCATGACCAGATGTTTTTTAAACATTTTTGTAGAGATGGAGGTCTTGCTGTGTTGCCCAGGCTGCTGTTAACTCCTGGGCTCAAGGGATCCTCCCACCTTGGCCTCCCAAAGTGCTGGGATTACAAGCTGCCGTGCCCAGCCGTTGCTAACACTTTTGATTCACCAATACGTTTTGTAGACTAGAAGAATTATAGAACACTGCAACTTAAAGGTTTTCTCTCTTGGTCTAACCTTGTGTATGTAGAAAGTTCATGTATGCTTTTATTCTGCTGCTTTTAAGTGAGACCCTAGGCATCTCTCCTGTGTTTCAGCCCATTGGGGCACTATGCTGTAAAGCCCTGCTTGTTGCTTTTAGTTGAGAACTTTTGCAAGATTGTCAATGCACATTTTTATGCCACTTGTAAACTTATGTGACTAATCACAATTGTTATCAAGTTGTGGGAGCCTTTAGTATAACCTTGTACTTAGAAGCAGAGTTTGTTTTGTCAGACTTAAGACTGGAGGTTGTGACCGTGTGCTCTAAGGGTAACCTCCAGAAAGAAATCTGTGACTGTGATGGTCCTGATGATTTTGTGCCAGGTTGTAATTGACATCATGCTAACTGACATCGCTTCTTTTAAGCAGAGAAATATTCCTGATGTGGCTTTGTCCAGTCACAAGGGGATCTGTGGCATTTTTGTCTTCTATATGCATGATAAAAAATAAAAACTTTCCTGTCTGGGGAAAAAATAACTTAGATCACGTTACTTCCCCATCCAACACCCTACGCTGGTTAAAAATATACATCTATCAATTCCTTTTTGCAGGCGACAAAGCCCTGCTTTTGCTGGTCCCTGCCAGCATCTCCCATCCACCCCTGCTTCACGCTCTCTGCTCCCACACTGGCCTACCCTGTTATTTAAACACACTAAGCATGTTCTAGCCTCAGGATTTTATTTTTTTATTTTAATATTTTATAGCCAACGGCACCCAAGAGGTCTCCCATCCAAGTACTAACCAGGCCCGACCCTGCTTTGCTTCCGAGATCTGATGAGATTGGGTGTGTTCAGGGTGGTATGGCCTTAGACAAGCCTCAGGATTTTAGTACTTGCTTTTCCCAACTTCCTAGCAAGGACGTTCCTCCTGCAGATACTCTCATCCCATGGCTCCCTAAATTCATTCAGACTTCAAATCCAGAGGCCTTCTCTGCCAAGCCGGTCCAAAATTAGCCTCTCCCCCTCCTCATCTCTTTCCCCATTCCCATCATGATTTTTTTCATGTCACTTGTAACTCTCTTAAGAATTTTTTTTTTCTCTTTTGAGACAGGGTCTCACTCTGTCACTCAGGCTGGAGTGCAGTGGTGTGATCTTGGCTCACTGCAGCCTCTGCCTCCCAGATTCAAGCAATTCTTCTGCCTCAGCCTCCCCAGTAGCTGGGATTACAGGCACATGCCACCACATCCGGCTAATTTTGTATTTTTAGTACAGACAGGGTGTCACTGTGTTGGCCCGTCTGGTCTCAAACTCCTGACCTCAAGTGATCCAACCACCTTGGCTTCCCAAAGTGCTGGGATTACAGGTGTGAACCACCATGCCCAGCCTCTCTGAAATGATCTTTTCTTTTCTTTTTTTTTTTTTTTTTTTGAGACGGAGTTTCGCTCGAGTGCAATGGCGTGATCTCGGCTCACTGCAACCTCCGCCTCCTGAGTTCAGGCAATTCTCCTGCCTCAGCCTCCTGAGTAGCTGGGATTACAGGCACGAGCCACCATGTCCAACTAATTTTTTGTATTTTTAGTAGAGACGGGGTTTCACCATGTTGACCAGGATGGTCTCGATCTCTTGACCTTGTGATCCACCCGCCTCGGCCTCCCAAAGTGCTGGGATTACAGGCGTGAGCCACTGCGCCCGGCCCTGAAATGATCTTTTCTTACCTTCCTCCACCTCCTTTCACATGTGGCAGGAGAACAGGGACAGATCTTTTTGCAGCTTTGCCTCACATAGTTCAGTGTCCAGCATCTCAGAGATTACTGGTGTGAGTGACTGACTATTCCAGTGTTCAGAGTACCATGCTGGGCTCTGACAAAGGCATGATTCCTACCCAAAGGATTGTAGCTGGGTGAAGAAAGGTGCAGGTGATGAAGGGTGACTGTTTAATTTGCCATCTGGCTGGAACATATTTGGGAGTGAAAGGGTCACAACTAATAATTACACCAGGGGAAGAAGCGTAACTCGTACCCAATGGTCATCCACAGAGACAAAACCCAACTGCATCCAGTGTGGCCTATAGTCCACCAGGTCTGTGATGTTGTGGGATCAGAGGGCGGAGACTTCTCTGAAGTTGGGACCTGAGCTGGGTGTTGAGGAATGGGCAATTGTTTAGAAAGTGGAGCCAGATAAGGGAATTCCTGGCAGGGCAAACAGTGGGAGTGAAGGCACTGGATGGGAAAATGTGTGGCGTGGTTAAGGTGTATAGCACGTGCCGTGGGTTTGGTTACTTGGGAGAGGCAAGACTGAATGGGTAGACTGAGGCCACTTTTTTTTCTTTTATTTATCTTTTGTTATTTTTTTTAAGAGCAATACCTGAAGAGGCCACTTTCTGAAAACAGAAACTCTTGCCTGGGCTCAGTGGCTCACACCTGTAATCCCAGCACTCTGGGAGGCTGAGGTGGCTGGACTTGAGACCGGCCTGCGAAAAGATCCCCTTTCTGCGAAAAATACAAAAATTAGCCTGGTGTGGTGGCGTGTGCCTGTAATCCCAGCTACTCCAGAGGCTGAGGCAACTGAATTGCTTGAACCTGGGAGGCAGAGGTTGCAGTGACCCGAGATCATGCCACTGCACTGCAGCCTGGGTGACAGAACAAGACTCTGTCTCAGAAAAAAAAAAAAGAAAGAAAATAGGAGCTCTTAAATGCCAAGCCAAGGCATTATCCTTTGGATAGTAGGGAGGGGTATCAGATGTGACTCAGAGGTGGGATGATTTCACAGGACATGTTTGGAGAAGTGTCTACAGTTACAGACCCCTAGTGGCTTCCGTTTGAACCTTATCTGTCCATCTAGGCTGCAGCTCTTCTAGGAAGCCCTCCATGATTGCCCCAGCCCACAACAATCTCTGCCACCTCCCAAGTACAGCCTAAAACCCGCATCTGGGCACCAGCGCCCATCTAGGCTGCACCCTCTGGGTGCCTGTTTTGTGCCAAATGCCTGTCTCCGATGCTCCCAGGAGGATTGGGATGAGCCCATAAGCATCTTGGTGATTCTAGGAGGTAGTGCCCCATGTGGTTTGCCTGACTCATGCCCGATGGTTTGCAGGCTGTGTTGGCTCCTGCAGCCCAAATTTGGGCCCAGCTGCATCCTGTATTCCCTTAGGGCCCAGGTAATGGGACTTTTCTAAAATGGGCTCTTACCTGTTCTCTCTGTGGCATGCTTCCTTCACACTGCACCAAGTGTGTGTCCCACCTGCCCCGGGGACATGAGGCTCCTCCTCAGAACCTACTCCTAGCTTGTTCACTCACTCAGGCCCTGAGTCACTGATTTATCCACACATCTCAGCACCAACTATAATAAGCATGAGATGACTGTTCTGGTCCCTGCTCTCAGTGAACTCTAGGGTCCAATGGTGCAGCTGAATAACGCTGAAAATAACCACCAATGTTTATTAAGCACCTGCCACGTGCCAGGGCTTTCTATGGGTACAGCAGGCAGAGTGTGGCTCTCTAAACCTGAGTCGGACCATGTCCTGCTCCAAACCCAGTGTCTGCAATATACAGAGGAAAAGCCAACATGCTCTGCCCAGCCTGCAAGACACGCATGATCTGACCTGCAGTCACCTCTCCAACTTCATCTCATATGCTTCTCCACCTCCGGACCACTCTGCAACTCCACCAGCCCCTTTTTTTTTTCTTTTTGAGACAGTGTCTTACTCTGTTACCCAAGCTGGAATGCAGTGGTGGTATGATCAAGGCTCACTGCAGCCTCAACCTACCACCTCAGGTGATCCTCCCACCTCAGCCTCCTTAGTAGCTGGGACTACAGGTGTGTGCCACCATGCCCAGCTAATTTTTGTATTTTTTATAGAGATGGGGTTTCACCATGTTGCCCAGGTTGGTCTTGAACTCCCGGGCTCAAGCGATCTGCCCACCTTGGCCTCCCAAAGTGCTAGGATTTCAGGTGTGAGCCATCGTGCCCAGCCTACACCAGCCTCTTGCTAGTCTTCAAACCTGGCTGAAGACCTTGCTTCCTCTTCTCTGCCTAGACGCTGCTTCTCCAGGTGTTTGCATGGCCAGCTTCTGCCTTCATTAAGGTTTATCAGTTCAAACATTAGTTACACCTTTTCAAGGGAAGCCTTCCCTGACCACCCTTTCTGAAAATCAGCCTGTCACCCTCTGTCCCCTTTCTGTTATAGCACTTACAGCCACCTAATATCATATTGTATATTCATTTTATTTATCTGCCTTTTTCTCTACACTCTTGGGGATTTTTTTTTTTTTAGATGGAATCTGGATCTGTTGCCCAGGCTGAAGTGCATTGGCACAATCTCAACTCACTGCAATCTCTTCCTCCTGGGTTTAAGCGATTCTCATGCCTCAGCCTCTCGTGTAGCTGGGATTACAGGCATGCACCATCATACCTGGCTAATTTTTAGTAGAGATGGGGTTTCACCATGTTGGCCAGGCTGGTCTTGAACTCCTGACCTCAGTTGATCCACCTGTCTTGGCCTCCCAAAGTGCTGGGATTACAAGTGTGAGCCACGGCACCCAGTGGGACTTTATTTATTGCTAAATCCCCCTTACCTCCTGGCACAGGTAGTTCTTTGTGAAATGAGTGAATGCATGCATCACATCTTTAAGGTTCAGGAGGCTCTTCCTGGTGGGTGAGGGAACAGCACGTATGAAGGCATGGATGCCTGCTGAAGGCCCTTCCAGGGCTTGTATCTCTAGGGATATGAACTCTCTACTGCCCAGGGCAGTACTGCCCTTTTCCAGACAGTCTTGAAATTGAGGCAATAAATGTCCCCACGCCTGTTCCTGAGCATTACTACAGAGATGGCCACGTGGCCTATACATGCTCCAAGCATGGAGGAAGGAGGCCAGGGTACAGAGGGGGCTTCCTGCTCGGGTGTGGAGAGCCAACACAAGCCTTGGATCCCAGGGTTCCGCTCCCCTCTGCTGCAGGTGCCTGCCCTGTTCTATTCTGTTGGCCTGGGAAGGAACTTTGGACAGGCTCTTTTCAATCTGAGAAGAATCTGTCCTGAAACTATGGCAATTACTTGTAATCTGCAACTGCCTTGATTACAGCTTGGGGGACTTTGATATTTTCCTCCAAGGACACCATTTCAGCACAAAATTTCAAGGCCCGGCGCTTGCTTGCTCTCATCCAGCAGGAGAACTAAATATTGACTGGAGTTGGTGAACTTTGAGGCCTGCACCCATAGGCCCCACCATCAAAGCTGACTCAGGATCTCAGGGCACAGGGCTGCGGTGCATCAGGCACCTGCTGGAAGGCTGCTAGGTCTGTACGGGGCTGCTCTTGCTGCTGCCCACCACATGGTCTTGGGCACATCTTTTCACAGCTACCAGCCCTTTTCTTATCCGAAGGAGAAAGTCAGAACTCCTGAGCAGGAGGTAACAGTACCTTCAAGGTGCTCCCCTCCACACGTACCTCCAGCCCTCCAGGTGGCCAGCTCAGTGACAATGCTTTTGGTGGCATCTAGCTGAACCACTAGTTTTTTTTTTTTTTTTTTCTTATATGAATATTCAGAGGGGAGAGAGGCATTGGGGCTATTTGATTCATCACCTCAATGATGTCTTCCAGGCTCGGGCCTTCTCTGATCTGCCATCCTTCTTGTTGGTTTCATCTTCAGGTAGGTACCAAGATGGTGGCAGCAGCCCCAAGTGTCCACACTGGAGTATGGCAACTCCAGAGAAGGTAGACTGTGTCTTACCGTGACTCCCCTTAAAATGGAGGAAGCCTGGGCCAGGCAAGGTGGCTCACACCTGTGGTCCCAGCACTTTGGGAGGCTAAGGCAGATGGATTGCCTGAGATCAGCAGTTCAAGACCAGCCTGGCCAGTATGGTGAAACCCCATCTCTACTAAAAAAAAAAAAAAATTGCCAAGCGCGGTGGCTCACGCCTGTAATCCCAGCACTTTGGGAGGCCGAGGCGGGTGGATCATGAAGTCAAGATCGAGACCATCCTGGTCAACATGGTGAAACCCCGTCTCTACTAAAAATACAAAAATTAGCTGGGCATGGTGGTGCGTGCCTGTAATCCCAGCTACTCAGGAGGCTGAGGCAGGAGAATTGCCTGAACCCAGGAGGTGGAGGTTGCAGTGAGCCGAGATCGCGCCATTGCACTCCAGCCTGGGTAACAAGAGCAAAACTCCGTCTCAAAAAAAAAAAAAAAAAATTAGCCAGGTGTGGTGGCGGGTGCCTGTAATCCTAGCTGTTTGGGAGGTTGAGGCGGGAGGGTCACTTAAACCCGGGAGGTGGAGGCTGCAGTGAGCTGAGATTGTGCCACTGCACTCCAGCCTGGGCGACAAACTGAAACTTCACCTCAAAAAAAAAAAAAAAAAAAAAATGGAGGAGACCTTTCCCAGAAGCCCCTGTAGACTTTCCTGGTCCTGTACCTTACTGACTAGAACTAGGTCATGTGCCCAGTCTTGAATTAGGTATTGCCAAGGGGGAGCAGGGTAGTGGTAGACCAAGCATCCACGGAGAATGGACTCCCCTTAAAGGGAGTCCATTATGTCTGCTCATAATGTCCAATGCCTAGAGGCAAGCTAAGACCACTGTCTCTGGGTGTTCACAGCCACAATTTGGCTTTTCTGTGAGACCTCCCGAAATGTCACTTTCACCTTATGATGGCCCTCAGGGTTAGATGGTGCTGATCTGGGCTAGCACAGGTCCAATTGCAAGGGTTCTGGACCTAGAAAGTTCCTTAAGTTGAGCTAAGTCACTGCCAAACTAAGATTCCTAGGAGGCAGGCCCTTTAGACTCTCCTTTGGTGAGTGAGGAGGGATTGAGTACCTATTGTGTGAGTGGCTTTTTTACTTCAAAGAACTTGGCTGGGTGTGGTGGCTCATACCTGTAATCCCTGCACTTTGGGAGGCCAAGGCTGGCAGATTGCTTGAGTCTAGGAGTTTGAGACCAGCCTGGGCAACATTGTGAAACCCCATCTCTATAAAAAACGTATAAAAATTAGCTGGGTGTGGTCATGGGCGCCTATAGGGCAAGACTCTGTCTTAAACAAACAAAAAACCTTCATACTGTGCTTTGCAGAGGCCCTGTGATCTTACAGGTAAAAAAGGCAGTGCAGGCCGAGCATGGTGGCTCATGCCTGTAATCCCAGCACTTTGGGAGGCTGAGGTGGGTGAATGAACTGAAGTCAGGAGTTCAAGACCAGCCTGGCCAACTTGGTGAAACCCTATCTCTACTAAAAAATACAAAAAACAAACAAAAACAAAAAAACAAAAAACAGCTGGGTGTGGTGGCAGGCACGTGTAATCCCAGCTACTCCGGAGGCTGAGGCAGGAGAATTGCTTGAACCCAGGAGGCAGAGGTTTCAATGAGCTGAGATGATGCCATTGCACTCCAGCCTGGGCGACAAGAGCAAATCTCTGTCTAAAAAACAATAAAAGGAAGTGCAGAGACTACTTCTGTTTCTAGGCAAGGTGGAGTAACAGGGGTCAGATATATCTCCCCACCTAAAACAAAAGTAAAACTAGACAAAATACACGAAATAGTGGTTTTCAAGGCTCTGGGTGTTGAATGATAAAGGACAGAGATTACAGACAGATGGGAAACAAAGGTGAGCCCTGTAATTGCCCCCAAAAGTGGAGCCAGGGAACACCATGAGTTGAGGAGACGGAACTAAAAGTCAGGGCAAAGTAACTGAAGTGTACAGGACAGAATGCCAGAGGGGAGAGAGCTGTCTAGAGAGAAACCCCTGGAGAGCCGCCGAGGCACCCCAGAAACCCAGCAGGATCATGATGAGCACGTGTGTGTGAGGGAAGGACCCAAGGCCAAGGAAAGGCCCATCAGGAAGGACTCAGGGAACAGTGCCCGCTGCTCACTGGATGGGGACTGTGTCTGTTCCCACCAGCCACGGTATTATGCTAAGTATCGTGGGGTGTTAGGGAGAGGAGTCAGGAGGTCTTGCCTCACTAATGGTAAATCATTAGCTTTAGAATGAGCACTGGTTGTATTTGCCTAAAAAAAATCTTGTGTGAGCAAGACTCAAAAGGATTAAACCGTTTCCAAGTAACTCAAATGTCCCAGAAGAAAGCCCAAGAGGATTTACGGATTACGAATACATCCATCACCCAACAAGCTGAAACTCACAACGTCTGGCACCCGATCAAAGATGGTCATTCCTACAAAGCAGCAGGCAATGCAATCCATAATGAGGGAACAAGCAAAACCAACCCACGACTGAAACTGATGCCAGAACAGGCAGGTAAGTACATTACAAGTTATTCTAATTTTATTCCACATGTTCAACAAATTAAATAGATCCTCATACATATGGTCAAAAGATTTCTGACCCGGGTGCCAAAACCATTCAATGGAAAAAGGATTGTCTTTTTAACAAATGGTGTTGGGAGAACTGAATATCCACATGGAAAAGAATGAATTTGGACCACATACCACATGCAAACATGAACTCAAAATGGATCAAAGACCTAAATGTGAGAGCTAAAACTATAAATTCTTAGAAGAAGACATAGGGAAAAAGTTTCCTAACAGTGGATTTGGTGATTATCTTTTTTTTTTTTTTTTTTTTTTTTTTGAGACAGAGTCTCGTTCTGTCACCCAGACTAGAGTGCAGTGGCCTGATCTCGGCTCACTACAATCTCTGCCTCCTCAGTTCAAGTGCTTCTTCTGCCTCAGCCTCCTGAGTAACTGGGATTACTGGTGCCTGCCACCATGCCTGGCTAAATTTTTATATTTTTAGTAGAGATGTGGTTTCACCATGTTGGTCAGGCTGGTCTCAAACTCTTGACCTCATGATCCACCTACCCCAGCCTCCCAAAGTGCTGGGATTATAGGCATGAGCCACTGCACCCGGCTGGTGATGTTCTTTTGGATATGACACCAACAGCACAGGAAACAAAAGAAAAACTAGATAAATTGGAATTCATCAAAATTAGACTTTTGGCTGGGCTCAGTGGCCTATGTCTACAGTTGCAGCTACTTGGGAGGCTGAGGTGGGAGGATCATGGGATCTCAGGAGTTTGAGGCTGCACTGTGCAATCACTGCATCTGTGAATAGCCACTGTACTCCAGTCTGGGCAACATAGCAAGATCCTGTCTCTAAATACATTAATTGGCCAGGCGTGGTGGCTCACGCCTGTAATCCCAGCACTTTGGGAGGCCAAGGCAGGTGGATCACAAGGTTAGGAGTTTGAGACCAGCCTGACCCACATAGTGAAACCCTGTCTCTACTAAAAAAATACAAAAAATTAGCGGGGTGTGGTTGCGAGCACCTGTAGTCCCAGCTACTCGGGAGGCTGAGGCAAGAGAATTGCTTGAACCTGGGAGGCGGGGGTTGCAGTGAGCCGAGATTGCACCACGGCACTCCAGCCTGGGTGACAGTGTGAGACTCTGTCTCAAAAAAAAAAAGATGGTCAATATCACTAATAACTAGATAAATTCAAATCAAAACCACAGTGAGACACCACTTCATCTACACAAGGATGGGTATTATTTTTAAAAAACAGAACATAAGTCCTGGCAAGGCTACATAGAAATTGGAGGCTTTGTGTATTGCTGGTGGGAATGTAAAATGGAACAGCCACTGTGGAAAACAATATGGCAGTTCCTCAAAGAATTAAAGAATAGGATACGATCCAACAATTCTACACCGGGGTGTGTACCCCAGAGAGTTGAAATCAGGGGCTGAAGTAGATATTTGCATACCAACGCACATTATTCACAACAGCCGAAAAGTGAAAGTAACCCGAATGTCCACTGATAGATGAATGAACAAAATATGGAGGAATATCATTTAGCCTTACAAAAGGAATGAGGTTATTTTGTTGTTGTTTGTTTTTGAGATGGAGTCTCGCTCTGGCCACTGTGCCTGGCTAAATTCAGCCAGGCTGAAATGCAATGGCTTGATCTTGGCTCACTGCAACCTCTGCCTCCCAGGTTTAAGTGATTCTTGTGCCCCAGCCTCCCAAGTAGCTGGGATTACAGGCACATGCCACCACACTTGGCTAATTTCTGTATTTTTGGTTGAGACGGGGTGGTCTCTTCCTTGTTAGCAAGGCTGGTCTCGAACTTCTGACCTCAGGTGATCCAGCCACTTTGGCCTACCAAACTGCTGGGAGTACAGGCGTGAGCTGCTGCACCCAGCTGGAGTATGTTTCTGACACGTGCCACATCATGGAACAACCTGGAAGACGTTATGTTAAGTAAAATAAGGCAGGCAAAAAGGGGCAAATATTGTATGATTCCACTTATATGAGCCACCTAGAGTAGTCAAATTCAGAGACGAAAAGTAGAATGGTGGTTACCAGGGGCTGGGGGAGGGGAGAATGGAGAGTTAATGTGTAATGGTATATGGTTTCATTTTTTTTTTTTTTTTTTTTTTGAGACACAGTCTTGCTCTGTTTCCCAGGCTGGAGTGCAGTGATGCGATCTCAGCTCACTGCAACCTCTGCGCTCAGGGGTTCAAGCGCTTCTCCTGCTTCAACCTCCTGAGTAGCTGGGATTACAGGTGTCTGCCACAACACCCAGCTAATTTTTGTATTTTTAGTAGAGATGGGGTTTCACCATGTTGGCCAGGCTGGTCTCGAACTCCTGACCTCAGTTGATCTGTCTGCCTTGGACTCCCAAAGTGCTGGGTTTACAGGCATGAGCCACCACGCCCAGCCCATTTCAATATGAGATGATGAAAAAGTTCTGGAGATAGATAGTGGTGATGGTTGCACAAAAAGAAAGAGAAGAAAAGAAAAAAACAGATGGAAGAATCAAAACGAAAACAAAGGAAGAGTGCACCTGTGGGCAGGGCTTCCAGGGTCAGTTTCAAGCAGTCTCACATACGAGTCATCAGAATTGCTGAAGCAAAGAAGAGAAACGAAGGATAGAAAAAATATTTGAAGAAATAGCCTGAAACTTTCCAAGCTTAATGAAAACTATAAACGCACATATCCAATAATCTCAACAAATTTTAACCACAAGAAATTAAGAAAACCACACCAAGTCATCTCATGATCAAATGGCTTAAAACCAATTAACAGAGAAAACCTTAGAAGCAACCAGAGAGAAAAGACTTACATACGACGCTGGGCACGGTGGCTCAAGCCTGTAATCCCAGCACTTTGGGAGGCCGAGGCAGGTGGATCATGAGGTCAAGAGATCGAGACCATCCTGGTCAACATGGTGAAACCCCGTCTCTACTAAAAATACAAAAAATTAGCTGGGCATGGTGGCGCGTGCCTGTAATCCCAGCTACTCAGGAGGCCGAGGCAGGAGAATTGCCTGAACCCAGGAGGCGGAGGTTGTGGTGAGCTGAGATCGCGCCATTGCACTCCAGCCTGGGTAACGAGAGCGAAACTCTGTCTCAAAAAAAAAAAAAAAAAAAAGACTTACATATGAAGGGCACAAAGATAAGGACAATACTAAATTTGCTGTTGGAAACAATGGAAGAAGACAGTGGAGTAACATCTTTAAGGTACTAGAAAAGAAAACTACCGACCTATAATTTTTTTTTTTTTTTTTTGAGATGGAGTTTCATTCACTCTTGTTGCCCAGGCTGGAGTGTAATGGTGTAATCTCGGCTCACCAAAACCTCTGCCTCCCGGCTTTAAGTGATTCTTCTGCCTCAACCTCCCAAGTAGCTGGGATTACAGGCATGTGCCACCACATCTGGCTAATTTTTGTATTTTTAGTAGAGATGGGTTTCTCCATATTGGTCAGGCTGGTCTCGAACTCCCAACCTCAGGTGATCTGCCCGCCTTGGCCTCCCAAAGTGCTGGGATTACAGGCGTGAGCCACTGTGCCTGGCCTGACCTAGAAGTCTTTATCCAGCAAAAGTACAATGGAGTAACATCTTTAAAGTACCAGAAAACTATCAACCCAGAATTTTCTATCCAGCAAAAATACATTTTAATAATGAAGGCAAAATTTTAGATGTACAGAAGCTGACAGCATTCATCATCATTAGATCCCCACTACAAGAAATGTTAAGGGACATCTTTCAGGCAGATGGAAAATGGTACCCGGTGGAAATCTGGATATACAGAGGGTTAAAGACCACTGAAAATGGTAACTACCTGGGTACATATGTAACATTTTTTTTCTTATTATTTATATTCTTTAAAGACAACTGTTCAAAAAGAGCAACTGGACAGGCACAGTGGCTCACATATGTACTCCCAACACTATGGGAGGCCACGGTGGGCAGATCACTTGAGCTTGAGTTTGAGACCAGCTTGACCAACATGGAGAAACCCCGTCTCTACAGAAAATACAAAAATTAGCCGGGTGTGGTGGTGGGTGCCTGTAGTCCCAGCTACTCGGGAGGCTGAGGCAGGAGAATCACTTGAACCCGGGAGGCGGAGGTTGCAGTGAGCCGAGTTCGTGGCATTTCACTCCAGCCTGGGCGACAGACTCCTCTCAAAAAAAAAAAAAAAAATTCCACAATATTTGGAAACTAAGTAACACACTTCTAAACAAGACATGACTCAAAAAAGAAATCAAATGAAAATTAGAAAGTATTTTGAATGGAGTGACAATGAAAACAGAACCATGTCGGAATTTCTGGGATGCCATTACAGCAAGACTCTAAAAGTTTATAGCACTAAACACTTAGATTAGAAAAGAAAGCCCTCAAGTAAATGACCTCAGCTTCTACCTTAAAACACTAGAAAAGAGCAAATTAAAGACAGGGATGGGATGGGTGCAGTGGCTCATGCCTGTAATCCCAGCACTTTGGGAGGCAGAGGCAGGATCACCTGAGGTCAGGAGTTTGAGACCTGCCTGACCAACATGGTCTCTACTAAAAATACAAAAACTAGCTGGGTCTGGTGGCTGGCACCTGTAATTTTAGCTACTCGGGAGGCTGAGGCAGGAGAATTGCTTGAACCCAGGAGGTGGAGGTTGCAATGAGCTAAGATCACACCACTCCACTCCAGCCTGGGCAATAGAGCAATAATCCATTTCAAAAACAAACAAACACCCAAAAAATAAAGACAGGGATGTCCACTCTCACCATTCAGTATCATGCTGGATATTGTAGCTGTTGCAATCAGGCAAGCAACAGAAATAAAAGGCATCCAGATTGGAAAGAAAGAAGTAAAACTATCTTTATTCACAGACAACATGATCCTCTGTGGAGAAAATCCGATGAGATCTAAAGAAGCTACTAGAAGTAATACATTAGCAAGGCTTTAGAGCATAAGATCAATATTTTAAAAAGCAACTGTTATTTCTGTACAACACTAGCAATAAAAAAAAAATAAATGAAAACCTGCCATTTACAGGCTGGGCACGGTGACTCACGCCTGTCATCCCAGCACTTTTGGAAGTTGAAGCAGGCAGATCATTTGAGCTCAGGAGGTTCAGACCAGCCTGGTTAACATGATGAAATCTCATATCTACTAAAAAATACAAAAGTTAGCCGGAGGTAGTGGCATGCATCTGTGGTCCCAGCTACTCGGGAGGCTGAGGCACAAGAACTGCTTAAACCTAGGAGGCAGAGTGAGCTGAGGTCCTGCCACTACACTCCAGCCTGGGCAACAGAGCAAGACTCCATCTCTAAATAAATAAAAATTTAAAAACATACCATTTACAATAGCATCAAAAATATAAAACTGACAAAAGAAGTGCAAGATCTAGACACTGAAAATATAAAACTTTGCTGAGAGAACTTGAAGATGACCTAAACTGAGAGGCATAATTTGTTCATTGGTTGGAAGATTTAATATTGTTAAGATATCAACGCCACTGCTGGGCACAGTGGCTCATGCCTGGAATCCCAGCAATTTGGGAGGCCAAGGCAGGGGGATTGCTTGAGCCCAGAAGTTTGAGACTAGCCTAGGCAACATAGGGAGACCTGTCTCCTTATAAAATAACCAGGGGAGCACTGCAGTGCATGCCTATAGTTCTACCTGCCTGGGAGGCTGAGGTGGGAGGACTGCTTGAGCCCAGAAGGTCAAGGCAGCAGTGAGCTGTGATCATGCCACAGCCACTGAACTGTAGCCTGAGTGACAGAGTGAGATTCTGTCTCAAATAAATAAATAAATAAAATAGAATAAATCAAGATAAATAGTGACGCTTGAGCCAGGTGCATTGGTTTGAGCCTGTAATCCCAGCTACTTGGGAGGCTGAGGCAAAAGGATTGCTTGAGTCCAGGGATTTGAGACTAGCCTGGGCAACGTGGTGGGACACTGTGTCTGCAAAAAAAGAAAAAAAAAATTCATCAGTTGTGGTGGAGCATGTCTGTGTTTCCAACTATTTGGGAGGCTGAGGTGGGAGGATCACTTGAGCCCAGGAGACCGTGACTGCAGTGAGCTATGATCATGCCACTGCACTCCAGCCTGTGCAACAGAACGAGGCTCTGTCACAACAAAAAAGAAAAAAGAAAACACAGGAGAAATTCACTGTGACCTTGAGTTAAGCAAACATGTCTAACACCAAAAAGCAAAGTCCATAAAAGAAGCTGGCCATGGTGATATGTGTCTGTAATCCCAGCTACTCAGGAGGCTGAGGCCAGAGGATCACTTGAGCCCAGGAGTTTGAGACTAGCCTGGGCAACATAGTGAAACTCGTTTCAAAAATCAAACAAACCAAAAATTCAAAAAGAACAAATTAAATTGTTTAATTAAACAAATTGTTTAATTGAATTATTTGTTTATAAATTGGACTTCATCAAAATAAAAAAACCTTTGCTCTTCAAAACACGCAGTTTTCAATGAAAACACAAGCCATTCACAGATTAAGAGAAAATCTTTTCGAAGCATTTACCTGATAAAAGATTTGTAGGCAGAATACATAAATAACTCTCAAAACTTGACAATAACCCAAAACCCAATACAAATGAACAAAAATTTGAACATATACTTCACCAAAGAAGATATATTTATCACAACAATAACAAGCACATGAAGAGATGAGCATTACGTCATTAGGGAAATATAAATTAAAATCATGAAATGTTATACACCTGTAAGAATGACTAAAATTAAGAATATTAACCATACCAAGTGTTATTAGGATGTAAAGGAACTGGAGCTGTTGTATACTGCTGATGGTAATATAAAATGATACACCACCTTAGAAAAGAGCATGGCAGTTTAGGTTAAACATACACCTGACTTCCTCTCAACTTGGCGTTTGGTGGGTGGGGACCCACACAGGTTCAACATGCGTGTCGTTGGCGTTTGGTGGGTGGGGACCCACACAGGTTCAACATGCGTGTCGTTGGCGTTTGGTGGGTGGGGACCCGCACAGGTTCAACATGCGTGTCGTTGGCGTTTGGTGGGTGGGGACCCACACAGGTTCAACATGCGTGTCGTTGGCGTTTGGTGGGTGGGGACCCACACAGGTTCAACATGCGTGTCGGGAAGTGTTGTTTCTGCTCGGGGCCCATCTACCCTGGCCACGGCAGGATATTCGTCTGCAATGATCGCAAGGTGTTCAGATTTTCTAAATCTAAAAGCCATAAAAACTTTAAAAAGAAGCACAATTCTCACAAAGGTAGGTGGACCAAAGCATTCCGGAAAGCAGCTGGTAAAGAGCTTACAGTGGGTAATTCATTTGAATTTGTAAAACATAGAAATGAACCTGTCAAATACCAGCGAGAGCTATGGAATAAAACTATTGATGCAAAGAAGAGAGTTGAAGAGATCAAACAGAAACACCGAGCTAAATTTATAATGAACAGATTAAAGAAAAATAAAGAGCTGGGCACAGTGGCACATGCCTGTAATCTCAGCTACTTGGGAGGCTGAGGCAGGAGAATCGCCTGAACCCAGCAGGCGGAGATAGAGGTGAGCCAAGATCGTGCCATTGCATTTCAGCCTGGGTAACAAGAACAAAACTCCATCTCAAACAAACAAACAAACACACACACACACAAAAAAAAAAAAAAAAAAAAAAAAAAAGAAAGAAAAAGAAAGAGCTCCAGAAAGTTCAGGGTATCAGAGAAGTCGAGCAAAACATCCATCTTATCTGAGCCACTCTTGCAGGCAAAGGGAAGCAGCTGGAAGAGAAACTGGTACAGCAGTTACAACAGGATGTAGACACGGAAGATGCTTCTTAAAAATCCCTGTGACCATTTATATACATTTGAAAATGTCCTTTGGAGACTGGGAACTGCTAAATTATTGGTTTATTTTTTACATCAGGTCACTTAAATGAAAAGTGATTAAAATATCTTTCCTATATGACTATCTACTTTAAAGCATCAGATATTAAGGATGCTCGATTGCATCTCAGTGCCAAATCTTCTCTGATAGATGTAAGTACGTAAATCATGAAAATTCTACTTTAACTATAGAAGTGAATTGTGGATGTAAAATGGTTAAACCATTTGGATAATGGCATTAGGCAGCGTTTGTATAATAACTAATGGCAAAAATTCCTGGCTAGTGATGTGTAAAATATTCTTTGCAATAAAATATTCCCCTTATTAAAGGTATAGAAGAGGGACTACGACAAGGAACTAACAATTTGTATGACAGCATCACATATTATTTTTAGTATTTCCTGTCTAGGTTTATTTGCATCTTAGAAGAGCGTAATGGCATTGTTTGATGAGCCTAATTATGCTGGACTGTTTTGACCTGGTTTAACTATTCTGATAGGTAACTGTGGATGTTGGGGATGAGAACGGAATAATCTTTGCCTGGAGTGACATTACATTCTAGAATTTCCACTTTGGAGAATACTCAGTTATAACTGTGATTTCTAGTAGAACAAACTTTCTAGCCTAGCAATGATCTAGAAGCAGAGGAATCGCAGTGCCTTTAAAAATTATGTGGTTTTCTTTTAAGAAGCTCCTAATTGTTTCTGGAGAGAATTTATGGGTACAACATCTATTCGTTATTTGCACATAAAACGCTTTTAAAAAATCCCAAACCATATACCTACCATATGATACAGCCATTTGACTTCACTTGCTCATAGCAACTTTATTTATTATAGCCCAAACTGAAACAACCCAAATGTCCATCAACAGATGAGTGGATAAACAAATTCCATACAATGAAATAAAGAAGAAATGGACCATAGTCACACATAAGAACATGGGTGAATCACTACAAAGTAGCATGAATGAAAAAGTCAGACAGGTTGGGCACGGTGGCTCACGCCTGTAACTCCAGCACTTTGGGAGGCTGAGGCTGGCGGATCACCTGAGGTCAGGAGTTCAAGAGCAGTCTGGCCAACATGGTGAAACCCCATCTCGACTAAAAATACAATAATTAGCTGGGTGTGGTGGTGCACATCTGTAATCCAAGGTACTCAGGAAGCTGAGGCAGGAGAATTGTTTGAACCTGGGAGGTGGAGGCTGCAGTGAGCCAAGATTGTGCCATTGTATTCCAGCCTGGGCAGCAGAGTGAGACTCCAACTCAAAAAAAAAAAAAAAAAAAGGCCGGGCGCAGTGGCTCACGCCTGTAATCCCAGCACTTTGGGAGGCCGAGGCGGGTGGATCACGAGGTCAAGAGATCGAGACCATCCTGGCCAACATAGTGAAACCCCGTCTCTACTAAATACAAAAAAATTTAGCCGAGCATGGTGGCACATGCTTGTAATCCCAGCTACTTGGGAGGCTGAGACAGGAGAATCGTTTGAACCCAGGAGGCGGAGGTTGCGGTGAGCCGAGAATGCACCATTGCACTCCAGCCTGGGTAATAAGAGCGAAACTCCATCTCAAAAAAAAAAAAAAGACAAAAAAATATATAGTGTATGATTTTTCTTTTATAAAGCTCTGGAAGATGCAAATTAATCTATAGCGACAGAAAGACCAGTGGCTTATTGGGGATGGTGTCTTAGTCTGTTTTATGTTGGTATAAAGGACTACCTGAGGCTGGGTAATTTATTTAAAAAAAAAGTTTACTTGGCTCATACTTTTTTTTTTTTGAGACAGAGTCTCCCTCCGTTGCTCAGGCTGGAGTGCAGAGGCACGATTTCAGCTCACTGCACTGCGAAGCTCCACTTCCCAGGTTCAAGCAATTCTCCCGCCTCAGTCTCTCAAGTAGCTGGGACTATAGGTGTGCGCCACCACACCCAGCTAACTTTTGTATGTTTAGTAGAGACGGGGTTTCATCTAGTTGGCCAGGATAGTCTCGATCTCTTGACCTCATGATCCACCTGTCTCACCCTCCCAAAGTGCTGGGCTTACAGGTGTGAGCCACTGTGCTCAGCCAGCTCATGAGTTTTTAAACATTTTTAAAAATTTGTCTTAACTTTAGATATGAGGTCTAGCTTTATTGCCCAGGCTGATCTTCTCCTGGACTCAAGTGATCCTCCTGTTTCAGCCTCCCAGAGTGTTAGACTTACAGACAGGAGCCACTGTGCCTGGTCTGGCTCATGATTCTGATGGCTGGAAAGTTCAAGATCGGGCATTTGCTTCTGGTGAGGTCCTTGGGCTACTTCTGCTCATGGAGGAAGGTGAAGGAGAGCTGGCATGTGCAGAGATCACATGGGGAGAGAAGTGGGGGTTGCAGGGAGGTATCAGGCTCTTTTTAACAACCAGCTTCCTTAGGAGCCAAGAGCACTCACCTCCTCTGCTCCCACCTCCCCCAGTGCTCGAATCCATCCTGGAGGAATCTGCTCCCAAGACCCAAACACTTCCTTAGGCTCCACCTCCAACCTGGGGATCAGATTTCAACACGAGGTTTGGAGGGGACAAGCAGGATTATAAAAAAGGGCATGAAGAAACCTGGGTGTGCTTACTATCATGATTGTGGTGATAATTTCATGGGTCTATGTGTCAAAACGTATCAAACTGTGCAGTTCATTTTACACCAATTACATATAATTACACACACACACACACACACACCTTTAAAAAGGCAGCTACAGTGTAGAGGTTGGAAGGACAGATTCAGAAGTCTGACTGTCCCATCTGAATACTATTCAACCATCATGGGACACCACCCCCATCCTGCCCCAGCAGGTTACCTCAACTGCTTGGTGCCTCAGTGACCACTTCTGTAAATGAGGGCTAGTAACAGACCTGCATCAGAGGCAGGTTATTATCTTGTATCATATCCCAGATTTAATGGGCTAATCCATGGCAAGTGTTTAGAACATCGTAACACAGGAATTACTCCGTAAATAATAAGTACCCTCCCCACTACAGATGAGGAACTGAGGCTTGTGGTTAGAGAGGGTGGGGGGTAATAGGCCACTGTTTTGGTCTGCTTCACATCCCTTACCATGGGAAATGGTTCTTTCCTCATCAGCCATTCCAAGTAATTCTGGTGGGGCTGAAATTCACCGTATTCACCACCTTCGGAGAAAGTGGCCTCAAATCATACTCCATCCTCTTGGATATAGTGATTGGTCCAAGATGTGCAAATAATAATCCAAGCTGGGCCAATCAGAAATGTTTCCTGGGATGTCTCTATATTGAATAAATATATATTGAATATACTGAAGTAGTGAGGAAAGTTCCCCTACTCCAGCCCCCTGGCATACCCCAGTGGATCATGTAAGCCTGGAGTGATTGGCATCCTGCCCTCCCTGCCTCCCCCATCAGGAAGAAGACTGTGGACAACGGGACAGAGCGAGGCTGGAGAGGAGCACAGTGGAGAAGGGGAAAGAGCCCTAAGGCTATCCTTTGAGCCTCCAGATCCAGCCAGACCCGAAGCAAAACCAACAAAGTCCTTGATGACTTAAGAACCAAGCAATTCATTTTTGGACTGAAATCAGTTTGACCTATGCTTCTGATGCCTGCAACTGAAGAACTGGGTTTCTTAGCATGAGGTGAGCTGACAGTAAAATACTGAAGCTGGGAATCCAAAACCAGGTTTTGCTGCTACCAAAACAGTCGACTGCCATTTCCCACTTGTGAGATCAGAAGAGCAAAGGACTGCAATTTAGTACGGAGGGGCCAGGCAATGGACTTGTACCAGGCAGGGAAGGGCAGTCGCGTGAGCCCTGGAGAAGTGTGACAGGACAACGAGCCTCCAGGGAAACTATGTAATTCAAACCACTAGGGAAGGTGTCTCACCTCAGACCTCCAACCCCTACACGAGATTGAAAACAAAACAGTAGGACAATGGCATATTTATTTACAATTGGACCAAAAAAAGGCATACAGGCATTTTTTTAATTAAAAATAATGATGATTTAAAAAGTCAGAAAAATTGATGATGTTTGAACTCTTTATGAGGTGTCCGTTTCCCATTCCCCCTAAAAAGAGAATCTCTTAGGAGAAAAAAAAAAAATCCAAGATTTGATGAACAAAAGATTCCAAAATCGCTCTCTATTGCTTGGGTTCCCTTCTTTCCAACCTGATGCTTGGTGGATGCTGCTTGGCGCTGCAGTCACTGAGGCAAGATTGAGAACTTCACTGGTTTGATGGGTGAGGCTGGTAGGGCCACTGGGAGACGTGGGGCAGTAAGGGGAGGGACACGTTCCTAGCGTCACCAGCATCCTGAGCTTTGTCTTATATTGAGAGCCTCACAAGGGTTGGTGCAAGGGTTAGCGGCTGCTACTTGAACTCCAATCCCTGGGTGGATATGGTCTCTTGTAACTTAAGAGCAAATGTTTGTGACATGCACAGCAGGGCAGAGGTTGGGAAGAACAGGGCTCTACGGAGGAGCCCGGTCAGCCATGTGAGCCCCTTCTAAGTTGGCTTCTTGTCTATTCCTGGGGGTTGGGGAAAGAATGACAGAACTTACCTTCCATCTTCCTTCTCACAAGCAGTGTTTTGGGTGTCCCCAGAAGGAGGAGACAAGAAGTCAGGTGCGGGATGGAGGGCATGGGCTGGCTAAAGAACTGAGTATGACCCCGGCGGCCAGAGAGGGCAGGGAGAGAACGCCCAGCCACTCACAGGAGGGGCTCTGTGATCTCTGGGCCTCCTGTTCTGTCTGAAGTTGGGCAGGGCCCAATACCAGCACACCTTGGAGAGTGGCACCTCCCAGGAAAAGGACCAGGGAGCGATCCTGAGGGTAAGGACCCTAGCAGCCTTGGCCATCCCTTCCCAGACACAGACAAGTGGATGCATGGCTTGGGAAATACTTGGCTCCAGATCCAGGGTTTCTTGGCACAAAAAACAGTTCACTGCAATTCTCTTGTCTTCCTCCTTGTTGGTCCTGCAAACTCCAGCTGCTCTGAACAGGGGTGATTCCTACTGTCCGGGGAACCTGGCCCCCAATACTTCCAGGGTATTTTCTTGTAGCAACTAAGACTTGGGTTTGCTCCTGGTGAAAAGATGACCCCGAGGCCTGGCTGGAAACCCTGCCTTGGGCAGCCCTGGGGAGAAGAGGGAGAGAGAGGGCTGGCAGAGGCTTGCTGGCACTGAGGGTGCTGTCCGGGCTGAAGCTGTGCTTTGTCGTGGCCTCAGTGGTGACGATGAGCAGGGAGAGGCTTGGAAACCTCACTGAAGCCCTGGCGTGTTCTCTTCCAGTTAGTCGTAGGGTGGCCAACAGCCCTGAGGAACTAAGGTGGAGACAGTGACCAAAACCTTATCTCGGTGGATTTATCCATCCTGGATCCATTTGCTAAAACAAAGAAGGAAAAAAATCCAAACCACAAATATACCTGAATAAACACGTCAGAGAGTTCCTGTTGGAGGGAACTTTCTTAGCACTGAAGAAAAGCAACCCACAAAAAAACTCATCCCCCGCAGAACTGGAATAAGATGAAGAAAAATGCAAGATTATCTACAGGCCCTCCCGCCCCCCACGCAGCCCCAGGATCCAGGAACACTGTGCCAGGAGTTACATTCCAAATGAGCAGGAGTTATTTTATTTTGCGTGCCTGCGGTCCCCCACGCAGGGTGGCTTCCAGTCAGAGGACGGAGCGGGCCTGGCTGTGGTCCACTCCAATCAGTCTATCTTCACGGCAGCATAGATCTTACGGACAAACATGTAGGCTGCATAGAAGCCAATGGTGCCCGTGAGCAGCCAGAAGGACAAGACCATGAGGGCCGTGTAGCCAAAGTAGAGGAGAGAGGGGATGAACTCCACGATGTCCAGCTGAGGCCGCGAGCGGAAAGAAGACAGGGTGGGTGCTTAGTGCCAGGTTGCATGGCAAACTGGGGCCCCACCCTCACTGATATCATAGGGAAGCTGAGGCCTGGCCAGGGGAAGGGGCGTGTTCCAGTGGGCAGCGAGGAGCAGGCAGAGCTCACAGGCACAGCTCTGCTTAATCTGGACCAGGCCTGTGTATTGCCCTGATGCCCATAGCCTCAGAGGCTAAGGCCACAATGCCACAGGGAGAATGGCCACAGCTGTGGTCATTCCTGGTCCCCCACAGTCCCTAGATCAGTATGGCAACACTGCTGGTTGGCTGAAGCAGCAGTCAGGGAGTGGGTGGTAGAGTGGAGGGACAGGATGTCCAGATGCCCAGCTTCAGGACCAGGAGCCCCATCAGCCTGCCTCAGCCTCCGTTCCTCTCTTCCCCAGAATGCTTGTCACTTCTGTTAGCATCTCACAGAGATTCTGATCGTGAAGCATTCTGGACTCCTTTAAATTGGGTAGAGTTTAGAGGCTGGGCAGGAATGTTGGGGATCTATGTTGTGTTATTTACAAATGGAGCTAATGTGGAACCTTGGTATCAAGATATGCCCAGGACCCGAGTGGAGCCTGTCCCAGGACTCACAGGCAGACACATGGTCACAGAATGCCAGCAGTCCAGAAGAAAACAGTAAAGAAACAAAGAAAACAATATAGTCACCGTTTGAAGCCCTTTCCTAAGCCTAAGGGGTAAGGGTCACGTTTTCAGGTTCAGCCCCCCAACTCTCCCGCGACCCCTTTTCTTTGAAGGGACAGGGTCTCCCTCTATTACCCAGACTAGAGTGCAGTGGCATGATCACAGCTCACATCTTCACCCTCCTGGGCTCAAGGGATCCTCCTGCCTCAGCCTCCGAAGTAGCTCAGACTACAGATGTGCGCCACCACACGCAGCTAATTTTTATTTTTTCTAGAGATGGTGTCTTGCTCTGTTGCCCAGGGTGGTCTCAAACTCTTGGCCTTACGTAATCCTCTCTCTCACCTCCACCTCTGAAAGCGCTGGGATTATAGGTGTGAACCACTTGCACCCAGCCTCCATTTCTCCTTATACACATTCTTGTGGCTGGAGGTGGGGGGAGGGGTGGAATAGGGACAAGGAACAGAACAATGGTAAAAGGAGGCAAGGGACAGAATAAAGAGGAAGAGCTGGAAAGTTCCTCTTTTTATACATAAGGCACTGGGGCTGGAGGAAGAGATTTTTTTGAGCAGAGCAAGAAGACTGGAGCAGAAGGGAGGAAGGACAGGAGGCTGCAATGTGATCTCTAGTTTTTGTCTGTCTAACCTTGTTTCTTATCTTCCCGATGTTTTGAGAAACACACTCAAAACACCTGGTCCTGTTGGGGCCCTCAAACCTAGCACAAAACAGGCTGGGTGCAGTGGTTCACACCTATAATCCCAGCACTTTGGGAGGTCGAGGCGGGCAGATCACATGAGGTCAGGATTTCGAGACCAGCCTGCCCAACATGGTGAAAACCCGTCTCTACTAAAAAATACAAAATTAGGCATGGTGTGGCGCAGCTGTAACCCCAGCTCCTCAGGAGGCTGAGGCAGGAGAATCGCTTGAACCTGGAAGGTGGATGCTGCAGTGAGCCAAGACTGCACCACTGCACTCCAGCCTGGGCTATAGAGCGAGACTCCAACTCAAAAAAAAAAAAAAAAAAAAAAAAAAAATCTTAGCACAAGACTTAGGCCAGTCTGCCTAAATGTGGACCTGGGAAACAGTGAGCACTGGGCATATCACCTGAGCCAAGCAGCATATGAGGGTAGATGAAAGACATTCTTTTAGTGCTAGGGCTGCAAAGCTAAGAAGAGTAGACACTAGGGCTGGCATTGGCCATCTTTCTACTTTGTGAAAAGACCTTGCCTGCAGACTAAGGCCAAAAAAAAGGACACACAGGACTAAGGTGTGGCCACAGAGCTCTGATATTTTTGAGAGCCTGGATCTACTATGGTTGAGGCTAGAACTCCAATTTCTTAATCTTTCCAGTTATATCAGCAAATAAATTCTTTTTGCTTAAGCTACTTTGAATGGAGTTTTAGTCACCTGCCACTTACAAGAGTTCTGATTAATATGGGCTATAGAGGAGGGAGATTTGTTCTAGATGATCTCAGAACTAAGACTAAGGTCTAAAGATGGAAGTCACAGCAGGGAGACTGCAGTGTGAATCAAGACCCTGATATGGACAGGAGCTGTCCAGAAAGAATGGGAGTGTTAGGAGCAAGTGTCTTCTCTGTTGCTGGATGTAGCAGAGCAGCGGTCTGTATCTTTTACTTAAAGGGCCAGATTGTGAGTATTTTAGTTTCTGTAGGCCATATGGTCCCTGTAACAACTACTCAAATCTGCCATTGTAGCGTGAAAGCAGCCATAGACATATGTTAACGAATGACCATGGCTGTGTTCCAATAAAAAGTTTTAGAAACAGACCTGCTGGCCTGGGGGGCTGCAGTTTTCTGACCCCTGAGCTAGAGAATCATCTGTTGAGACTGTTAGAGAAGAGGGGCACGGTCACCAGACCGGAGGCAGGGGTGCAGCTCTACACAAAATGATCCTTCCAGTCTTTTCCAACTTGATTGTTTTGGGGAAAGGGAATTCTAAGCTTCAATCAACTGATCTACAACTCTATCTTGCAAATAACCCTGGGTACTAGCAGAGGACTGCTTGCTCTGGGCTCTGGAGACTCAAAGTACAGCAGGTGAGAATATGTCTTAAGTGTTAGTTTTGAAGGTCAGGGGTCCAACAGGGCTCCTTCAAATTCCTCTCAATGGCTCATCTGGCTTGTGTATCATGCATGAATCTAGCAAAACTGTTGTGGGGCATCTGCATTCTTGCCAGCGCCTCTCTCTGGGGACAATGAGCTCTGTGAGTTTGCCCTAATCAGGTAAGCCTGGCTCCCTCTTATTAATGAACCACACTTTACCTATGTGGGGTCACAGAGCAAGGAGGGCTCCGAAATGCCTGTGAAACCCCTTCCCCTCCTTACTGCAGGACTGAACAGTGCTTGTGTGAAGAGGACACCTGCAGACGGGATGCCTGCGGCGCTAAGCTTGGGTTCTACTGTTGAGACCATTTCAGCTTTTTCTGCGTTGACCTTTACTAACTCCTTTCTCCTTTTCTTCTTTCCTGCTACCCTTATCTTGTCCTTTTTGTCAAGGTGTTCTTAGTCCCTCTTACTTCCTGTGAAGAGCGCTGCAGGTGACATACTGCTTTCAAGTCCTGCTTTGGCTACGGCTATACCTCATAAGCTTTATAAGCATTATTCTCATTGTCACATATCCTGATGGCCTTTGTCTCCCAAACATAGAATACAGATTCTTTCTTTCCTAAAAGGATCCATCTTCTAGAGCAGAAAGTTTTAGGTGGCTTTGGTCCTCCCCATTCTGGGTAGAAAAGGAAGATTCAGGCCCTTGGGGTTTTCTGCCAGTATCCTCCTCCTGACCTGCCTATCCTACGAGGACTAAGAGGACCCTTCAAGGAGGGCAGTACCTTGTTAACGAAATAAAACATGGCATAAACCAGGACGTAGAATGCAGAGCCCCCGGAAACGAGGAAATTTCTCCACCACCAGCGGTAATCCTGAGGAGGAAACAGAGGAAGGTCACTTCTGTCCTGTGGCAGAATCCCTTCCTGCCAAATTGCACAGTTGCTTGAGGGGCCGAAGACCCTGGCAAGAGCAGTAACATACGGGGAGATGGAAATGTTTCACAGCTTGACTGTGATGGTGGTTTCACAACTGTAAGCATTTCTAAAAACTATGTAACTATGGACAAAGAAGGGTGAATTTTACTGTTTATACCTCATTAAAAAAAATCAACAAAAAAAAGTAACATTTCTCAAGCAAATGCTTAGCATGTTAGACAGTCTTGTTCTGTTGCCCAGGCTAGAGTGCAATGGTGCAATCTCAGCTCACTGCAACCTCCACCACCAGGTTCAAGTGATTCTCCTGCCTTAGCTTCCCGAGTAGCTGGAATTACAGATGCGTGCCACCACACCTGGCT